ATATTATACATGAGGTCATATTATACATGAGGTCATATTATACATGAGATCATATTATACATGAATAAAAATGGTAAATATTTTATTTTGTTGCAACCCCTCAAACTGAAGTGTTGGCGTGTGTGTGCAGGTAAAAACCCATCGCAGCGCTTCACAGCTGTCATCCACATGGTTTCTCCTCTGCAGTCCCACATCTCTCCTGTGGTGAAGCTCATCATCGCCGTGGCCAAGTCCAAGTTCTGTGCACAGGTCTGTCAGAACCTCACTGCTGGGGTAGAATAAAGAAAACATCACATAAATTAATGTTTTCATGTTTGAACGTCTTATTTATAATATTCTCTGTCTTACAGAATAAATATGCTCTATGTAAAACCATTGGAACTAAAACTAATTAGCATAAATGCTGATGTGAAATCACATATTTTTGTATTATTAACAGACTTTCCTGAAAYTCAAGCCTAAGAAGCATCAATTCAYGCATGAAAAATGCTTCCCACAGAACCTCTGGTAAAAACCCAATAACCACCTGCATGTATTTCCTCATCCAGATCGTGGTTTTATGGAACTGTGACAAGTCTTTACCTCCGAAAAACAAGTGGCCCTCCACCAGCGTGCCTCTGTCTGTCGTTGAAGGACAGACCAAGGTAACGGCTGCTTTCTGCACTCGTTCTGTTCAAACTGAGCCTTTAACGCCAGCTTCACACTACAACATTTACAGTCAGTTGATTTTTAGGACCAAACCTGTTATATCTATGATTATTTATCTTCTCCTGAGGGGTCTCTCAGGTTTTGAAAATGTCTGTGTGAACTAGACTTAAAGATTAATCTGCACTAAAAAAAATTAAAAAAACTAGAACAACAAAAAGGAACTAAACTTCAATATTACTGCCTGTTAACATTCAGCAGAACGTTCCGTTTTTGTTTCGTTTTATTTTGTAAAGTCGTTCTGTGTTTCTGTTTAACCTGTGTCCGTGTGCAATGCATCAAAATGGATGTCTAGGCCCTCCTCTTTTGATTGACACCTCATTTGACCAACTGGGTTCAAGTAT